AATCTACTCTGGTTCTGACATACATCTTGACCTCAGGTTTTATGCTTCATGTCTCATTTCCAAGGCTAAGTGAACTGGATTTTCAGGATCAATTCTGCGGTCAATTGAATTAACATTTTTAAGACTCTTTTATATCTATATATTTATACAAGTGACTCTTATATAAGCAAAAACATTACAAAAGTGGATTTCTTTTTAATGTAATTATAATGGAATCTCATAAACATAAATAATTACAGTTTCATTGAAAATAATGTTGTGTGTTTTACTTATGTGAACTGTTCATTCCTCTAAATTTGAGAAAAAAATTCTGAAATCTGTAGTAAAGAGAAGCTTTACAAATGTGCATTTTTTTTCAGTATTTTCATATAATTGTAGAGGTTGGATTTAATAGACATCTTAAAAACTAAAACCAAAATATTTAAAAGCCATTTGCTTTACTTCAACATTTCACCTCAAATTGTGTGTGTTCCTGCATGTGTGTATATTTGTGTGCACTTTCTCTTTACAAATATATACACATACACACACAATTCAAAGACAAATACATAATATGTATTATATATAAGATGTGTAGTTATTTTTCCTTTTATTTTTGGGTATTTAAAATTACTGCATGTAAAATGAAATTGCTACATAGGTATCTACGGTTTTAAAAAGTTGATTGGTCTTAAAGTATTGGTCATATTCCAGATCTTAATATACAAAAACATAGTGTTTATACTCACAAAAATAGAATATGAAGCAGTAGGGTAGTGATTCATATATTTTTTCCTGCTTATAAAAATACAAACCATTAGCATTAATCATTAATAGTTATAATCATTAATAAAATGATTATAACTAATCATTATAATTAATAAACCATTCGCATTAATCATTATTAGCTATAATCATTAATAAAATGAAAATGCAAAAGTCTAAGTTTTTGAATGCAAGTATGCTGTATTTTGCAACATTTTCATTAGTTACATAGTTACTAATGTATTTGTTTCTAGTGTCTGTTCACATGAGCATATAATAACCAGATAACTAATAAAGTTGCAAACAGAGCTTATTAACATTTATCTTACGAATATGGCATCACTGACAAGAAGTAGTATCCACTGTATATTACTTTTTTGTTTCCTAGAGTTTCTTCAAATATAAGAGGTTAAGATGAGCTATTGTGAGATATAAGAAGTGATTTTGAGTCATCAAAACAAGAGTACATTGCATTCAGGATTATTTTCGTGTTAAGCCAATATCATTGCATTCTAATTTTTTCAAGTGTATAAATTATTAATTACACATATGTCACTGTGACTTAAGAAAATATTGCATTCTCTAGAACTTCATTTTCTTTATCTACTCTCGATGTCTGGAAGGCCACCTAACTTATCCCCATTATTGTCTTTTTATTTTCTCTATTCCAGTGTTTGTGTTCAGCAATGAGGCTGGCATTATCTAAAGGCCTTAATCTTCCACTCAGTCATCATCATAAATGGGAAAAATTTCTTCTTTTATTTATAATCCTATGCACATGTGGATATCATTAATTCATATGAAATGATTGAATTAGGTTGAGTTAAACTTCAATCTTTTAAGATCTTATGACTGTATTTCAGTAGCTTCAATTAGTTATGACAATTATCTCTTTGAATATTCTTTCCCAATTTAGAATACCAAATTGCATGTATTTTTCCTTAATGTATATTTCTCCAAACAGAAATTTTCTGTTTACCATATAACAATAATCAACTTTTTACATCATTTCCCATAATAAAGCTTTATATTTTTATAGTGTTTTACAATTTACACAGTCTTTCACTTAATCATTCACAAGCCTCTGAAACAGGATAGTCATTAACTCAATTTTAATCATGAAGCTATAAAAATTCAGAGAATTATAGTGGCATCTAGGACACAGCAAAAATATGGTGAAACTGAGCTTCTGACCTAGATTTTATAACCGAAGACCAGAGGTAACTTCTGGTATACCACACTGATACCAAAGCCCAGTAACATTTCATAACAAATTATTCACATTCTATATTCTGTGTTAACAATGAGATTAAATCTACACAATAACCTGTGACAACTATACACATAATTCAACTAAACGTTCTTTCCTTAGTCACCAAAATCCTTATCCTAATATAAATTAGATTGTTACAGCAAATAAGATATTTCTTTTTTCATTGAGTACCATATTTTCTAGTCTTATTGCCCAACAGTCACTTGGCAAGTGACAAGAATACACCAGCACTAACCAGGCATTATGAGACTCTTATTTTTACATTGCTTCAGATACATTTCTCAACATTCCTAATCACACACATAAAAAAAAAAAAAAAAAAACACACACACAGGCACACATCCTTTTCAATTAAATTCTGAGACAGTAGAAGTGAGCATAATATGAAAAAATCTCAGAATGGAATACACACTGCCTGCCTTGATTTGCTTGAAAAATTACCCATAGAATTATACTTTACTATGTGTGCCAAATCACAGCCTTAAACACCTCCCATTTTTCTTAAAGGCTTATCCCACTCTTCGAAAATAATATCGACTACATTTAAAATGTAAATGCTATTATGCCTTTCTTGATCCTTATTATATCCAGCCAGCCAACATAATTGTATTAGCTTTCATTGCCAACTTTCATACACCGTCATTCACACAATATATATTATTAATACACTAACAGAAAATAAATTAGTTTATCTATTAGTTGTCATACATATTTCACCTGCCTTCAGGCAGTTGACCAGAAAGAGTTAAAAAAATAGTTGAGGCTTTCATCAATTTTAATTTGATTAGGTCAACTGTAAATAAACCTTTAAATGGTGACTTAGAAAATAATTAGGGTTATTATTAGAACAGTTTGTAAGTCAATACATGTTAAATTGAAAATCTGAAGATTAATATTTACAGCTAGTGCTTAAAAACTTTAACATGTTTAAACTAAATCATTTAGCCTCTTGTGGTATGTTTAGCTTACTTTATTTTAGGCTCCTTTACGTTTTATATTTCAATATAAATGCTAACACTATTTGCATTTGCATTTCTTGGGCACGTGGATCATATTACAAATATCACATCTACATTGTATAACTATGCAGTTGACATGAAAATAATTGCCTATGTCTGCTTATCTTCCAATGTTGTAAATGTAATTGTGCATGAAGATAAATAATTTAAAACATTCTCAGAGGGCAGAGTGAAAAGGCAGCTACCATCACTTAACCACTATTACTTCCTGCATGTATCTTGTAGACAACTAACTTCATTTGCAGTCAACAGCAGAGCTTTCTGGCAAAGAAAGCTATTTGCCAGTTCCCAGATCTGGTGACTGCTTATAGAAAAATCTGCTTATTGCCTCCACAGTGCTACCCTATTTTTCTTTGATGTCTCTTTCCTGATTTTGTTCTTTAGCTAGCTGATCTTAGAATATTTCTCAGACTAATTTGTGAATTGCGATTGATAATTTAGGCTTAATCTCCAAAAGTCCATTTTCTTGATAAGATTTGATTTTTATATTTTTATGCTGATTTTAAAGTATGCAATGATGACAATTCAGATGAAGGGCTTGGCTATAGTTCCTTGACATAGACAGTAACAAGTGAAATGCATCTAATTTTTGAATAAATTGAACTGTTCAAAATGGGCATAACGTGGCACGCCCTGAGTTTCTATTGGTACTCCTGTACGGACAAATGGAAAATATTTAAGCGTATTGGCTTCCTGAACTATTATCTCTACTTGAAACTAAGCCATTGCTTTCCATAATGAAGTGAATCCTCTCCCTGTTTACAAGTAGCTCCAAGGATTTCACATATGGAAATCACTACCACATGCATTTATATTTAGTAGTAAAATATAGCATAAATTCCTTTCATGTCATTATTTTAAATCATATAAATTCATACTATATTTACAATTATGAAATTTCCTTTTACAAAATAATTTAAGCTGTAGAGTGCTAGTAAATGTTTAACAACTTGTTCTCCAGAGAAAAGGGTAGTGTGTGCTGATTACTGTTGTGGTCTAAATAATCCCACTATGGCTGACATCAACCAACCAAAATGATATCACTGCACCTGGAGTTGGGAAGAGATGTGCATAATTAGTTGTTGTGAGCTCATTCTAGTTGGTTTCAGAATAATACTAAATTTAAGCAACTTAATATATATTTATTTAAATGATTTTTGGAGACTCTTCCAACTAGATTTAAGATTGATTTTATCAATTAACTCTTCAATGTCTGTTTTAAAACAAAGCCTACATTTCAAGTATTGTCATACTATGATATATAGCATTAGCTTTCAGAAGAAAAAATAAAACTAAAATAAACAACAGTAAAAAATTCACCACTATTACAATTAATCTTAGAATACTTCATATAAATCCTCCCTATATTAGGAACATTCTTCTTTCAGCCATATCAAGAAATTTTTTTTTAATTTTAAAAAATACCACTGAATCAAATTTATACTCTATTGATATAATCATTCACACATAAATAGCAATTGGGTATATGCAAGAATTTTAAATTATTATTTAAATATCAACCTTCCTTTTTCCAATCTATCATTGGCAAACATTTAACAAAAAATTAGTGAGAAAATACAAACGTTTTAAAAGGAGAGAAAACAGAGTGAATGATGTGTGTGTATTCCTTTTCTAAAATACATCCACACCTCCATTTACTGATATGCAACAACCAGCAGTTTGGAGAACATAATCCAAATGTACTAAACTATTTTATCTGCTTGCAGACAACAGGAGAGTTATTACAAACTGTTTTCTCAGAGCCTTGTTGATTTAACATATATATAATTTCTGTATCACGCTCTGATTTTATTCAACTGGGTAAGTACACTGTTTTTTGTTTTAATTTGAAAAACCTGCATGTGTAACTAAAAGTTATGAACAGTGTCTTTCACTCTGTTATATATAGTTCTAATATATATGCATATTAATACAGCAAGAACCATATCTATATAGTCATAAAACAATGTCTATAAAACTTTATTCAAATTAAAGGACTGTTTGCAGATAATCAAATTTATTGAATTATTTATTTTGATGAAGCTGAAGGCCACTTTTACATACTTCATTTCTAAAGTTGGGCTGCAAGTTTACAGAATCCTACATAGTTCTTTTTTGTGTAATCAACATATTAATATTCTAATTCCACTGTCTGTCTTTCAAAAAGCACTTTTAGAACATGATTCTCTACACAGTGTTGACTGTTATTAGGAACCCAACAATGAATTATTTTTAAAAGGAGAAAAAAAGGAAAAAATAAATCCATTCTTACTTGAATATATATGCACATTAGACTAGTATTAATCTAGGAAAAATAATAGGTAGCAATATTATTTTGGTAATGAAAATCATACTCTAAGCAGCTCATCTTAAATTTAAACACATGACGACTTGGCAATTACCCTCCTTCCTTTGGCACATCTAAACCACATAGAAATTATACATTGTTTGGTTAATTCTCGAGGGACATGTTTGCATCAGAATTTAAACACAGGTTTTAATCTTTATAACATTATATTATTTAAGATTTTTTAAAAATCAATATTTTACTCAATATGTTTGCAGCAAGAAAGGCTGGAAAACGGATTCTTGAAAGTCTTTGGAGCACGTGGAACTCATGACCTTGACAAAAAATTCTTGCATCAAAGAAAATCTCAATTTTCTCTGAAGTCTTTCCAAAATACAAATATTTTATTCCAATGTTTTGACATTCTAATGGCTCAGAAGAACAATTTATATGTCCTTGTAGCTGTGCTCCTCTTTGAGATGTGAACTGCAACAGGGCTCGATTGCTTTACTATTATTTCTCCATTTCCATGCTTCATTTCCTTCATGTAGCTTGGGCTGGAGAAAAATCAGCATGTTCTGATGAGTTTAATACTATGAGGCAGTATGATGGACCTGAATTTAGTGGAGATTGGAGCTCCGAAATAAATACAACACCATGTGTCAAATGAAAAAGAAAAGATATTCTCCTGTACAAATCAGAAGAGATAATAAAAATCAATGAATAGACAGCAACTTTTTTTTTTTATCATACCTACACAAGCATCTCAAAACTATCACAAACTTTAAAAATTATTTACCTTTCTCTTATTTGGAACACTTCATAATTTATTGGATAAACAATGGTTTATGTTGCCTTAAACCAAATTTTATCAGCTTTTGTGGTAGCATTTTCAGTTAGGAAGGAATTTCTGAGAATTTACATATTGCTAAATAAAATATTTCTGCTAATCAAGAGCAATAGAATTCTGCTGGATTCTGTAATATAGTAAGCTATAAGCATCTCTGTAAATTAAATTTGTCCCAAGTTTTGATATGCAAGGAGTTCCAGGGTGTTTCAATAGCTCATCATGTTCTATTCCTCTCAATGACAGTACCATGAAGGTATGTACAGGGCATCTTTGACTCACTGACGACACAGGGCACTACTTTCTCATAGAGGTTTGGTGCCTTTGCAGGTATATGAGAGTTGCTATCTATTCACAAACCACTGAGCATTTCTTTTTATCAAAAAGCCTTCAAATGCTCAGAGTCTGTGGTCAGTGCAGTCCCTTAGAGAAGTCTAATGAAGATATGCCTCACCAAGGCAGAAACCTAAACAATTAAAAATGGAGAAGTATTTACAACCATCTTTCTCCAGCAAGTGGAGTTCTTGTTTTCTGTATGTAGTGTTGCTGTTGTTGTTGTTGCTGTTTTTTGTTGTTTTTTTTTTTTCAGTACATTTCAAATTAAGGTTCCAAGGCTATGAGTACAAACTCTCCTGGCCAGTCCCATACATGTCCGCAAGTCGTTTAAAGCGAGGTCCCCAGTCACTAAGGTAGTCATAGTTCTGATCAGAGTTTGAGCTGATGGAATCTAAAGAGCTGAGTGATTCAGCAACTGAGCCATTTCCTTCAAAGGCATATGTCTGCAGAGAGTCATAAGGAGGAGCACCAGGATCAACATCAGCTTCTTTTAGTCTTTCCCAAATAAATTCCCTAAAGATGACATTATCTGGGATGCTTTTAAAAGCTGGTCGACTCAGGAACTGAATTTCTGGAGTCACATCCCTCCGGGTCTTGGTGTCTCGGATGACGTTGAGGTTTCTCAGTGCAGCCATGTCAAATGCTTCCGTGTCCTCCTCTCCCCCGCCCTCATCATCATATCTTACAATGTTTTCTCTGATGTCTCTTTCTTCGTCAAAAATAAGGGGCTCTTTTTTCCGTCTTCTCATAGTGACAATTAGGAGGATCAACACTGAAACAATGAGACAGGAAGAGAAAGTTTCAGTAAACTCACCCACTGACCCACGTCATGTTAAAATTAGGCCTAGGATGCTGAGTTTTCTTTCCTTTAAAGAGAAATGAATTGGCCATCTACTTCCACGAGGATTCACAGCAGTAGATGTGCTAAAATTGCTAAAATAGCTTTAAAATAGAACACTTTTATACATCAAGGAACCCTTTTCCACACCTGTTCAGAACTGATGTCTCCCTCTTTAACGTAACCTCCAAAGTATTTGATAGAAGGAACTGAAGGGCCAATTCATAATAAATATAATCATTTCAAAGCCAGAAAACACAAAGGGATTTTTTTTTTTTTGAACTCGTTAATTGCTGGAAAGGCAAATTGACATTCATAAATATTTTGTGTCTAATTTAACAACTGCAATTTCAGAAAGAAATGGATTACAGCATTCGGTCAGGTTCTTTGAAGAAATGCCTGCTCCTTCTCTATGAAAGTCAACTGTTAAATAAAATCCAGCATGTCAGGCCATTTACAAAGATTAAAAGCTTCTCTATAATAAATTGAGTCCCACTTTCATGTATAAAATACTGAACTTGGTCTTTATCCATTCTACCTACAGAAAGAATACAAGCTGTGAGATTTTCAGCATCTGTCAAAAATAAACTTAAGAAATGAATCACCCTTTTAATGTTAGGAATTTATCTTCCTATATCAAAACTAATAAATCTTAAAGCCTGAGGTTGCACTGTAAAGCAAATAAGAACAATTACCCTGGCTATTTCAGGGACTTAAACCAACAATATATTCTGTGCATTTTTTCACTAGTATACACAAATAAGGAAACTGACCTGGCCTCTGAGTGACCACATGTTCCTTTAATTGGGAATACATTTGATTTCATGGCCACTTTAATTAAACTGCAATGAAGTGAAAAGGGTATTCTTGAATTTTGGAATTTAAAAATATGTAGAGTAGTGAATTATCTTTATTTGTCTATAAATACCTTTTAACAATTTATATTGGATCACCTTAAGATTTTTTTCTGGAAAGCATAAAGAGCCCAAGATATACATAGATTACCATTTAAGGTACATTATTATCATCATATTTTTAAAAGGGGATATAAAATATTTTTATTTAAAGTATCTGGTGAACTTTTTACTTTGGCATTAGAAATACTTTTGAAAGTAAATATATAAAACCAAAAAGGACATGTCAAGGTCCTTAACTGCAGTGAACTTAACTGCAGTAACTAGGGGTGAGGCATACTCCATCCTCCACCTCACTCTACTTTCAAGAACCCAAAAGCTAAGCCTTATCTAGTTTTAAATAAAATAAATTTATCTTTAATGAAAATACCTGCTTTCTTAAATATCTGTCGGCTATCTGCTTTAACACCACCAACAGGAATGCCACCAGTGAAGAAACTGTACTGGTGATCTGTGGAAATAGTTGTGAAACCAATTGTTTTGTGGCATTTTTCCTTTTCTTTCCCACTGGACTCTACTCTACTGCTCCTCTCATAAGCTTTGCACTTTATGGACCACCTACAGTTCATAGACGGATACATTTCGGAGCTTTTCTGGCCACCTTCTCATGCTCTCTTTCTTTGTGCTCCTGTTTAATTCATTTGGATGCTTTCAACCAGCTTCACCAAAGGGGCAGATATGTATTAGGTTGATGCAAAAGTAACTGTGGTTTTTGCAATTAAAGTAACTGCAAAAATCACAATTACTTTTGCATCAACCTAAGTTCAAAAGTTATTGTGTGAATATCTTTATGTTCCCATAAGGTCTGGTATTCAACTTCCTTCCCTGTTAAGTGCATTGTCCTTTCTTGTCTACTGAGAATTAACACTTTCACCACTCTAATCCCTTGTATTTCTCAAGGTACATGCCAGAATGCTACAACAGAAGCTGCAGCTTTGGTGTCAGGAAGGCCTTGCCCAACCTTCTTACATATGAGCTGTGTGACTTTGAAACGAGTAACTTTTAAACTAACTGAAATTAGCAATATACAGTAACAATAGTCGACATCAATCTTCACAGTGTGGACTGAAGAGATAAAGAACATTGAAAATAACATAAGTAGAGTTAACAGAATCCCAGTTACTTATCAATATGCAACAGAGCAGGTTTTTTTTTTAAAATGAAACAAACAAAGTAGAAAGTGTACCATATATGGCTAGGCATATGTACCAAAGATTAAATGGGAAATAGAAAAGGTGGTAGGGTGAGAAATGAAGGTCTGCACACAGGACATATTATTTAACATCCACAACAATTCTCTAGGGTAGGTGTTTTCCCATTTGATGGTTGTCTTAAACACATAAAATAATCTGTCTAGATGTAATTAAATGCACTGGTGAGTGGTGAGGCATACTCCACCTCAGTCTGTCTTCGGAGCCCTCATACTGTCTGTAACACTGTACGCTTAGTACTTTCATAGAAGGTAATTAAAAAACAAAGCCTAAGGGTGACAAGTATGAAAGCTCAAAAGGCAATTGCTTGCTCAAGGAAAGACAGTTTTCAAAACACATGGATGAATAAACAACTATTTTAGATTTATATACAACTTTAGTTCCCCCAAAATGAAAGTAATTGCAGTAGAAAGAAAGGGGAACCCAATAGGAATTCTTAGTGAGAAAAGAAAGTAAAGCAGGGAGTAAAGAGGGATGCTGAGAGAGAATAGTGATGGGAGGCACAGGGGAGGCAGGTAGAAATAAGACATCTGTTACACATGTTGAACAGAAAAATTAAGGGAGAGGAATGTCCAACTGAAAACAAAAGGGTGTAAGAAATGAATAAGTATGAGAGTCAGTAAGGGTATAAATAAGTTATATCATAATTAGATGCTCTTTTAGTTTATCAGTGTCTAAGTAGGCAAACATTTCAAAATTCTTCTTTCACTTAATTACAATAAATTTTGTCATAAATATATACCTATATACAGTATATATCAATTATTTCTTATATTCTATTGTAAATGTATTTCATGCTACTGATAAACTTGGTTTTTGATTCTCAAGTCTTCAATCAAAGTAAAACTCTAACATATTCATGGGTATAACAGCCCATAAGTACAATATACATCAAGGATATTAATGTCTGATGGAGTTTGCCTTATGTCCCACTCTTGTTCAAGGCAAAGAGAAACGTGGTATTTTGGAAGGTTAGATAGTTTAACATTTGAATGACCCGATAAAATGTTAACTTCTAAGCACATAAGCACATATAAAAAATAGGTTTTAATGTTTATTTAGAACAAGTATTAACTGTTTTTAAGAGACTACGGTGTTAATCACTGTATTAAAAAGAATACTCTGCTTAAGTCAGCATAAGATCATATTTTTTATCATTCTATAATATTTTATCATTTGTCTTTTATCATTTATCTTTTCTGTCATATGGCCTCTACTTCTGAGTAGAGACAGAAGAAAAGTTTTAGCTGGAGCTGAAATCTAGCCATGTGTGACACTTACATTGTTCTGGTTGTTCAGGAATTTACATATCTCCTTAACAAATATATGTTAACCATTTACTAGATGCACTAAGTATGGTAGTGTAATGTTGCAAATGGAAGCAGACATAAAACATTTACTCGTGGACCTTATGATTTACTGGGACCAATAGATATTGATCAAAACATTAAAATAAATAACTGTAAAAGTAGAATTGTAATAATTCTTCCAAAGCAAGTAAACATGATCTTATAAAGAAATATACTAGGGGAACTAGATGCAGATGAGAAAGACTTAACCGAGGATAACCGGAGGCTGAGTGCAGGGATGGGAAGGAGATGTGGTGTGGAAGAACATGCTTGGTACACTGATGACAGTCAGCGGATACTTGAGGTCAATGTGGCTAAGAGGGCAAAGAAAGAGGTGAGGTACAGTTGGAGCTTTCTTCAGTTTAATCCATTGTTTAGTGGCTAATACCACAGGTTGAAGGCCCACATTTCATTTAATTCAATAATATTTTTTAATGAATACTGATTTTCTAAAACTGTAATACTGATTTGCTAAGCCATATGAAGGGCAGTGACTTTGTTTTCTACAAATTTACCCTAAGCACAAAGAATAATACATGATAGTATGTGCTCAATAAATATTTGTTAAATAAATTAATAAATGATAGGCAAGGAAATGTGACTAGAAATACGTAGACTTGTTGGACTTGGCCATCAGCAAGTCCAACATTTTGAATAAAAAATAAACAGTTAAATATTATAGAATAAATTAAATATATAGGAACATAAAATATGCTAGGAAGATGTTGGTCTCATAAAATGAGTTAGGGAGGATTCCCTCTTTTTGTAACATTTGGAATAATTTCAGTAGGAATGGTACCAGCCCCTCTTTGTACATGTGGTGGAATTCGGCTGTAAACCCGTCTGGACCTGGGCTTTTTTGGTTGGTAGGCTATTAATTGCTGCCTCAACTTCACACCTTGTTATTGGTCTATTCAGGGATTCAACTTCTTCCTGGTTTAGTCTTGGGAGGGTGTAAGTGTCCAGGAATTTATCCATTTTTCCCAGGTTTACTGGTTTATGTGCATAGATTTGTTTGCAGTAATCTCTGATGGTAGTTTGTATTTCTGTGGAATTGGAGGTGGTATCTCCTGTATCATTTTTATCATTTTTTATTGCATCTATTCTAGGCAAAACCATTCAGGACATAGGCATAGGCAAGGAATTCAGGACTAAAACACAAAAAGCAATGACAACAAAAGCCAAAATAGACAAATGGGATCTAATTAAACTTAAGAGTTTCTGCACAGCAAAAGAAACAATCATCAGAGTAAACAGGCAACCAATGGAATGGGAAAATATTTTGCAATCTGCCCATCTGAAAAAGAGCTAATACCCAGAATCTACAAAGAACTAAAGCATATTTACAAGAAAAAAACAAACAAGCTCATTCAAAAGTGGCCAAAAGATATAAACAGACACTGTTCAAAAGAAGACATTTATGAAGCCAACAAACATAGCAAAAATGCTCATCATCATGG